CACAAATACAATACTATAATATAAATTTCTCTTTTGCACAAGGAATTATTATTGCAACATATGCTGCGTGGTTTTTAATATTGGCTATGGAACCACTTTTAATACCAACCCGAGAAGAGCATTTCAGCAGTTTTAGAAATCATGGGTTAAGCCCTAACCAGTTTGGCTCAGTAGATAGAGCGTCAGCCTACGGACTGAAGGGTCCCAGGTTCAATTCCGGTCAAGGGCATGTTCCTTGTTGTGGACACATCCCCAGTAGCGGGTGTAAAGGAGGCAGCTTATCGATGTTTCTCATGTTTCTAACTCTATCCCTCTCCCTTCCTCTCTATAAAAAAAAATCAATAAAATATATATATTTTAAAAATCATGGGTTAAAATTCATAAAATTTATCATTACATTAATGGTAACAGGTCAACTATAACATCAACTATTAACCAAATACATATTTATGATAATATTGCAGTCATTTAACATGTATAGGAATTTACTGTCACTTTTTAAAGAGATCTTGAAATTTCATGTGACCACTTATGAAAGTGAAATAGATGACTATTGCTAATTAAAGTATTTAGCTCTAATCTGACATCTTTAGATTCAAAGACTAATATTTTATAAGCTAATTATGCTTAGCAATACAGTTTCTCTTCTCCCTTAATCATAAGTGTATTTCTTAGGGAAAAGAAATGTGAAGCAAAAGTAATGCAGAATATTTATATCTGAAGGCTTTGTGTGGTTTATTATTAATATAATTATTAATCCTTTAAATCTCAACTATGAGGATTTAACTTTTCTTCATCTGTCTCTTGTAGTCAAGAGGAAATATTCCTAGTGTCTCTCATTCCTTCTTTCAGAAGCATAAATATCAGTGGGAGTAGGAAGGATAATTTTATTTATTTGTATTTTGTTTATTTTAAAAAAATGGAAAGTGATATGTGATAACTAATTGTAAATGCATACTATTTATTTAGGTAGAGCAAGAGAATGAAACTTGCCTCTCGGGCACGTAAGTTGTGAAATAGGTAAATATTGTGAAATGTGAATCCAGAGAAATGAAACTATTTAAAGGAATTTGGTTTTACTTGTACAGATTTTTAAAAAAATGAAGAATAACAATTGAGGAAGTAATCAAATTAAACTTATACATTGTTCCCATAAATACTTTAAAATCATTAAAATGAAATACTAATTTTCTTTTACATTTTAATTGAATATTGAATACCTAACATACTAATTTGTTAAACTTTTTATTTAAGATATTATTGTTGCATACCTTTCCTTGCCTTATATATCTTATTTGATGGCCTAAAAAGAATAGCAAATTTGGTTTGAAATGATTCTTTTAAACTTTAGTAAAAGAGGAATTTTTTTATGGTTTGTGATGTGTGTGTGTTTACTAGTATTTGGGTTTATTGTCAAATCATATACCCACAGCACAGTTCTTTCTATTTTAAAGCAGGGGGATATATAAATATTTTAATGCCTAGATAATATTACTTTAAAATCAACATGTTAAGAAAGATCTGTCAAATTACACAAATAATGAAAAAGTACCAAGTTATTTTTAAAAAATAAAGAAGTTTTAAACTACAGTGCAACAAACAGGAAAGTACAACTACATGTAGAATATTTTAGACAGTAAAAGAATGATATTTTCAACAGTAAAAGAATATTTTCCTTCAAAATATATTAATAAACCTTTAGAGCAATACCAGTAACTTTTAAATATATGGCTTTAAAGTGAAATAAGTTTAAAATAAAAACAAAATATGCTGTGTCTATGAAATCTAAACATGAGTTCTCTTACTATTGTAAAATATTTTAGATTTGTTGTAAATACTAATACAATGATCCCCTGAGTTTACTTGAATTACACAGGCAAGGGAAAACATTCATTTAAATAAATACGTATGGGTGGTTGAAAGTATAATCTTAATTCTGAGAATATTGTGAAAGACCTGGAAAATAAATTACAGGAACTGAAAGTAGCATGGTCACTCTGTGCGTGTGTGTTAAGCACATAATGAGATTTGTGAAATCCATTTTCAGTACATGACTTTCAGACTTTTTAAAAAGTAAAAACTCCCTGTTAAAAGGCACTTAATTTGTTCTCCTTGTAAGATATGCCAGCTAAAAATTAATTTTCATAAAGAAAATGGTTAAGGGAGGTTTCTACTTCATTTGTTTGGATAGAGTAACTCTTCCCTCAAACAAAACTTCTTAAAACTCTGTTAAGAATAATTGATGATGGGCACCCAGGCATCTGAAAGAACAAGGAGTCTATTTTCCTTTGTTCTTGCCTGATTTCTGTTGAGTACAGAGATTCTGCCTCAAAGGGATAAAATGTCTCCTTCCTTTCGGGATGTTTTTAAAAACATCATTCCTTGAACTTCTGTAGGCTTGAATATTTTCATTATTTTGTATATTAAGTAATCTGTATAATGTTTAATCATTTTTATATAAACCAATTGGTATAATTATACTATTTTTAAATTTAAATGTATATGTGTGTGTACCTCTAGTAGAAAACACCATCAGTTTAACATAGTCACCTGGTTTAAATAAAAAGCTTCTGAGGCCTTGAAATTAAGATAAAAAGAGACACCTATAATAGTGTATGTCAACTGTAATCAGGAAAAAAACTTTTTAAAGAAAACAGGACACCAAACCTTCTAAATACTGTTGACCTTGTTTATACCATTTTATGCAAAAATCTAATTTTCTATAATTTTACATATTGAAGAGTATATAAATTCTATGATAGAAAAATGTTCCCACATATGCCTGACTTAGAAAATATATTTATAAATATGTTGTCTTTAAAATAAATTTTGTATTTATTTTTTCTTTTTTCTTGTTCCCCTCACTGACCTCCCCCCAGATTCCCCCCCCCTTTTTTTTTTTTTTTTTTTTTTTACTTTTTCTCAGCAATTAAGCACCATCTTGACTCTTGTTAGAGTGGATTTGTTGTGAAGATATTAAGGGCTGTAAAAGAAGGCATTTTCCTGAATTTATATTTTAACTTGTAGGTTATATTAATGACAGTTTTATAACTCGTTTGTAATCTAATAGGTCTGTTTGATATTTTCAAAACTCAAAACATTTCTTTTCATTATGCCTTTTTAGTTTTTGTTTAGTACTTTTTATAAATGACAAATTTAGTAATTTGGATTGTACAAATTATGCAAAAGAAAAAGAAGTATAATTAGTTTTAAAATATGTTATTTGGGAAAGCTGATTTTATTATATTTTTAACAGTTTTTAAATTACTATTTCACTCATAATGCAATAGTTGTTTATTTAAGGAGAAAAAATAAATCTGAATGAAAATGGAAAGTGCCCTTTACTATATTCATTCAGTTGTTTAAAAATATTAAATCTAATAAAATGACTTACTGAAAAAATAAGGCTAATTCCCAAAAGGAAAATTCTCTCTTTGGAAATAAATTGTAAAATTATAAAAGTTGCATTGTAGAATTTAGTTAATAATTAACTTTGAGAGCCAATATACTTGAAAGCTGTTATATTAAATATCTTTTAAAATATTTATACATTATTGATTTAATTCATTTGACTTTCTCACAATCCTCAATAAGTAAGTAGTAAGAAGGTATTTTTTAAATTTTTAATATTTAATGTTGTAATTTGCTAGGGTTATTCTACATATTTGTTAAAGGCTTTTTTGGGGGGGAGGGTGTTTAAGTAGAAATACACTACTTACATTGTGAATTAGATAAGTGCTTTAAATCCTGTTTCTATTCTATGAAGAAACCTTCTGTTTAAAAAAAAATTTTAATATATTTTATTGAATTTTTTACAGAGAGGAAGGGAGAGAGATAAAGAGCTAGAAACGTCAATGAGAGAGAAACATCGACCAGCTGCCTCTTGCACACCCCCTATCGCAACCCAGGTACATGCCCCTGACCGGAATCAAACCTGGGACTTTTCAGTCCGCTGGCCGACTATCTACCACTGAGCCAAACCGGTTTCGGCGGAACCATCTATTTTTATATTCTGACCTTTCTATAAGATTGTTGCATGTAAGACTATTGAACCAAAGACAGAGAAAGATAGTCTATGATGTGAACACTGTTTAAAAAGACATTTACGGCCGAAACCAGTTTGGCTCGGTGGATAGAGCGTCTGCCTGCGGAATGAAAGGTCCCAGGTTCGATTCTGGTCAGGAGCATGTGCCTTTGTTGTGGGTACATCCCCAGTGGGGGGTGTGCAGGAGGCAGCTGAATCGATATTTCTCTCTCATCCATGTTTCTAGCTCTCTATCCCTCTACCTTCCTCTCTGTAAAAAAATCAATAAAATATATATATATATATATATATTTTTTTTAATTCTTAAATCAATCTTTTTTGTTCATGTTATTACAAAGGTTCCTCATTTCTTCCCCCCTCTACCAGGTTCCCACCCCACCCTACACCCCCTCCCCACCCTCCATTGTCCTCATCCATAGGTGCACAGTTTATGTTTACTCTCTTCCTGCATCCACCACTCCCCCTTTCCCAGAGAACTGTCAGTCCACTCCCCTCCCGTATCGCCGACTCTATTACAATCAACAGCTAATAATAAAATATATATTATTTTAAAAGATTCTATCGCCGAAACCGGTTTGGCCCAGTGGATAGAGCGTTGGCCTGCGGACTGAAAGGTCCCAGGTTCGATTCTGGTCAAGGACACGTGCCTTGGTTGCGGGCACATGCCCATTGGGGGGTGTGCAGGAGGCAGCTGGTCGATGCTTCTCTCATCAATGTTTATAGATTTCTATCCCTCTCTTCCTCTCGGTAAAAACTCAATAAGATATATATATATTTTTTTTAATTTATTTGCATGTTTTCCTGTGCCACCTGTAATTTTTAAAATAATTTATCTTATTAAATGAATCAATTCTTTCAGGCCATGAGGCATTTGATATTATAAACTCTGTAAACAGTCATTTTCCCTTATCCCTTGTACTTTTCATTAATGTTTTGATTTCCCTCTTTTCTATAGGACTTTGCCTCCCGGGCTAAGCTGGCAGTACAAAACCTAGTACAGAAGGTTGGATTTTTTGGAATTTTGGCCTGTGCTTCGGTAAGTAAATTGTATTAAAAGTGAGGAATTCCAATAAATGCTAGATTTATATTTTGATCCAGTTTGTTTTTAAAAGATACATGCCTAAATGAACAATAATGCTATCACTTTTAACGGGCATATAATTTTATTAATCATTCATCTTACTCATCAAATGAGCTGTTTTCTGGTAATATGTTCATTTTTTTGTTTATTGACTTTTGAGCATTTCATCATGCCATGATGACTTCAGACCTAAATGGCTTGATTCAGTAAGAACAAAAGAGAGAAAATCCATCCTTCCCAGGGAGAATTTATAATGAAGTGCATTTAACCAATTAACAATGACTTCATTCTTTCCAGAATTATAGATAAGTCATCTTTTCTTAAGGTTTCAAGCGTTAACTGTAAAGAAAATGTGTATAAAGCCTGCCTTAAGTGACGCTAACACCTGATTAGGTAATTGGAACGTGTGTGGCAAAGTTAAGGGTTACAGTGAACTAAGATGCTCTTTATGTCAAACATTTAATGTCTGCACTACGTTTACCTGATTAATACAAAATAATAGTGATTATAAACTGTAAATTTAAAAAATTTTGTTTTGGTTAATGTCTCAAATTACAGATTTGTGAAACTGACATTCTTTGATGGGTGTTTTTTCCTGATCCTTTTCTGTATAATAGAAATAACTACATTTGAAATGGTGCATTTTGATTCAAGTTTTCTTTGGTCACCTGTACGCAATTGGTAGTTCGGTGGTGGGTTTGACCAGAATAACTAGATGCACCTGGTAGAGAATGATAAAGCTGCCATTAAAAGTAAAATTCACAAAATTATTTTCTGTTGACACCAGCTATTTTATCCATTAAGTATTAGTACAATAATACATCTTTGAGAACCCCCTTTCCAGCCTTAGCAAAGCAAATGGACAAAAAGCGGGTAATTTGGTGCCAAAATTTCTAATCTGTTATTAACATCCTAGGACTATTCTAAAGCATATCTGTGCCTAAATTACTATCTTTGATCTTGGCAATACTAGAAATTTTCATAATCGAACTTTTTTTTTTTTTAATGTAGAAGCTTTTTATCACAGTATTGACCTTAACTATTTGAGAGGCTTACAGGTATTTTGTAGTGTGATACTGTGGAAAGAATTGCCTTTAGAGTCAGGCTTCCTTAGGTTTCCTAAACCAGTTTTGACTTTTACTAGCTATGTAGCCTCAATCAAGTTACTCTCTTTGAACCCTAGGTTTTAATTTCAAAATGGGGCAATACAACATTCATTGCAAAAGCTCATGTGAGGATTAAGACTATATATGTGGATCCTCAGGCTCATATGTGAGGTGGAGCCTGATAAAAAAAGGAAAAGTATTAAAATTGTAATTCACAGAGTTGTGAGGGTCAGATGAAAATTTTTAAGAAATGACAGATGTGAGACTGTGAAATGATATTGTTATTACATGGGTTGTAAGTCAGATGAAATTGCATAAAGGCTTTGAATTTAAAAACAACTGTGTCATTGAATCCAAGTGTTACTAACAAAAAAAATACTTGAATTCTAATTTACTCATGACACTGTTTTTAAAAAGACATATGTAACAAATATAGCTAGACTTTTCTTTGAAAGTTCAAAAACGAAATGATATAAATTAATTGATTTATAAATGGTTTGGCCAACAGCCACAAGGACAGAGTACTTCCATGGGAGAAAAATGCATGAAGCACTCAAAATAGCTTGTGGTCTTTTTGCATTTTTATATGAAATAGTCTTTTAGCATTCTTGAAATGTGGGAATGTTTGGAAAAGGTATTTGTTGTGAATCACTTCTTTGTCTGGAACTGAATATTCAAAATATCTGAATCAGTGCTCTTGTATTTCCACTTGACTTTCTAAAATAGATCACACAATCCATGGCCTTGGGCTCTCATAAAATAAAATATAAATAATGTGATTTAGAGGTTAGTGAATTTTGTGCAGGTTTTCCCTGTCCTTGTAGGAAAGTTGTATCCCTTTATGTTGAGAAATAAGAGCACATCCACCTAAAAACATATTTGTGAATTTACAACAATGTTTGGTAAATATAGATGTGAGCACTTTCTAGATAATATTCTTATTTCAGGCTTAAGATTTTCAAACCTAGCAACTACTAAAATAATCTAAGGCTCTTTCTCATTTATATCTCACCGTAGAAAACAGCTACCAAATAGCCAGCCAATCTACTGAATGGTATTAAATTCCTGGGGAATTTATCTATTATAATTCTAATGTGATAGAAAAAAATATATATTTATGAGACATTCGCCATAAGTAGTACAAGCAGAAGAATAGCTGGTTTGCTTTGAACAGATTGAACAAAAGCCTGAGATGAATGTGAGACCGAGTTATGGACACATTAGGATACTTGCCTCCCCTAACAGGCTAGTGCTGAGCAAGGGACATACCTCTCTTTGCAGTGTGAGTAAGGGTTTCCTTACAGGTGGTAAAATGAAGCTGTTCTTTGGATTATATGTTGGAAGTTCCATTTTACTTTTATTTATTTACAGATTCCAAATCCTCTGTTTGATCTGGCTGGAATAACATGTGGACACTTTCTTGTACCTTTTTGGACTTTCTTTGGTGCAACCTTGATTGGAAAAGCAATCATTAAGATGCATATTCAGGTAACTGTATCTTCTTATTCCCTACCTAATGATGATGAGACCATTAAAAGGCATATTTCTCTTGCTCATTCCAAGGTGAATTATTCGGATTTTGGTTGATAGCTTGTTCAGCCATGTGATTTAGAGGTTAGTGAATTTTGTGCAGGTTTTCCCTGTCCTTGTAGGAAAGTTGTATCCCTTTATTATCTTTCTCCTTGTTTCTTTTCCTTCTTTCCTTCTACCTTTCTTCCTTCGTTTCTTTGTTTATTTCACTTTTTGCCTTGTGAAACTATTTATGCAAGATTTACCAAACAAAAACAGTGTTCCCATGTAGGAAAATGCTTATCATTTTCATATATATGATCCAAAAAATGTTTCTTTATTGGCCATGAGCTGAGGTAATATTGCCTTTCACTGATTCTACTTTTCTTTCACACACTGTATGTAACACTTCCTCTCAAGATACCATGTTCTTTACAGAAAAGTGGATACATGTTAGTGTTGGGGAGAATGGGGAAGAAAGGGGTCACGGAAGAGGCAGAAAGAAGTGAAAATCAGTGAGCCTTCAAAGACACTTTTTAACAAAACATTTAGTGTGTACTCTATGAATAAAGGAGAGAAAAGAGACTAAAAAAACGTAAATGAGAGGACATGGACATGTGCTTCTGGGACTGTGATATGAACTGTTTCCTTCTAAGGGCAAATCTCACCAGAATAAACTAAAATTAACCTGGAAAGAATTCCTTAATCAATGAGTTTTGCAACAAAGAGGCATTCACCAAAGGAAAGGCAAGAACAGTGAGTAATGTCCGTGCTCTGGCATGATTCCTTAATAATTAAAAGCACGTCCACCCCCATGCTGCTTCTTAACACCTCCCCACCTCTAGTTCCAAGAAGAAGAGGATGAAACAGAGAAATTTCAGCTGCTTCTACGGTCCAGTCTCTGATATTAGATGTTGGCATTGGAGATGAGTTATTGAACTTGTCCTGCCATGATAATTGCTCAGAATTTCAAGAATATGTTTTTCCTCCTTCGAGGAATATTTCTCCCCACTTATATTAAGTATATCGTTCAATGAGTATGGATTCTGTAATATTGGAATGCTAGTTTCTCTAGTAAAAATTTAAAATATCATAACAGGATTTTTCAAGTAATAAAATATTGTGAATTTTAAATGATCTCTCAGTGTACATGAAGATAATTTTTTTTGTAATCTTTTTAGTTCTTTCTAGGGAAAGAAAGAAGCTAGCATTTAGCTGTAGGGAGTCCTTTGAACGTAACAACAGATTTAATTCCCTTTATAATAACAGTTCCTCTAGGGATCTATAAACTTACACATCCTACTTTATGTAATAATCTAAAAATTATAGTAAAATGTATTATGCTTTTTATACAGTAAAACAATTGAATTTATTCTGGCAGAATAGATCACGAATCAGATAAACTTCATATGTGAATGTGGGAATGGAAGTTCATTTTCACACCAGGGAGCATATTGGGCCTTAAAACCTTGTATGTTACCGAAACCGGTTTGGCTCAGTGGATAGAGCGTCGGCCTGTGGACTGAAAGGTCCCAGGTTCGATTCTGGTCAAGGGCATGTACCTTGGTTGCGGGCACATCCCTTATAGGGGGTGTGCAAGAGGCAGCTAATCAATGATTCTCTCACATCGATGTTTCTAACTTTCTATTCCTCTCTCTTCCTCTCTGTAAAATATCAATAAAATATATATTTTTAAAAAAAAACAAAAAAAGTGTATTATGCTGACAGTGCCCTATAGTGGTAGGATATGCAGCTAATCAGAGCTGTCATTACAGAATAGTCCAAAATAGTTTATTTTTAGAACATTTTCTTTGTGGGTTTTTTGTGGGTTTTTTTTTTTTTTTTCAAGTTATGATAATGCTTATTTTTTATGTAGTGTTTCACACTTTAAAGCACTTAGTGTATGTCATCTGATTTAATTATTCTAATACTGAGAGGAAGAAATTATTACTCCCGTTTTATAATTATCAAACTTACAGAGGTTAATAAGTAATAGGTACCTGTAATAGGTACCTAAGAGAGTGAGTAAACAGCTGGAATTTGAACCCTAGTCTTTTGGCTTCAAGTTCAGTGTTTTTTTCCAGTCTTTTGCATTGTCTTCTTAACTATAAATTATTTATGTGATTAAGGAAACAATTGTTTGATGCCTGGGATTTATTAAGATCTATACCAGGCAGTTGGCATTGATTATCTCAGAACAATCCTGTGAGGTGTAGTTATTATCCATATTTCACTGATGAGAGAACTGAGTTTTAGAAAAGATAAAATACTTGCCTAAGGCCCAGGAATTCAAACCAAATTCTATAAAGTTAATGCTTATTCACTGTTTCTGAGTGGAAGGGGGAAAAAGAAAGTTAAAATCCTTTTATGTTTCTGAAAGGAAAGAATCTGAGTTCCTTCACTAAACTGAGAACATGGGGTGTGTTTGCCATGTTCTATTGAATCAAAGAGATGTACTTTGTAAAGGCATGTCACTGAGTGTACATCAGATATAGCTAAAGGCAACAGACATTTCTCATTTTTTCGGTAAGAATACTAACAAGTAATATAAACATAAGTATTTCTGAAACACAGGTTTTTCTGTAATCTAATAATAAACCTATCTCCTTTTCTGATTCTCTTTTCTCTCAGCTTAAACTAGATAACTTTCCTTGATAAACATTGTTATTTTTATTGACATTTTGTCATCTGTTAAACCTCCCCTATAAATTTCAGATCAGCCCACCTAATAGTGTTAAATCAGGATTTCCCCTTCCTCTGGACAAGTTGAAGACCTCTGGCTGTAGAAGGAACCTTAGAAACAAATAATGAAGAAGTTGAGAAGTCAGCATGCTCGCATATAGTACTTCATGTACCGTACAACTTACTTAGCATGTGTATTGTTTATTCCCTCTCTACCTTCCCACCCACCACTGCACACACTTATTCTGGAACAGAGGCTCCGTGAAGGCAGAGATTTTTGTTTCTTGGCTCAGTGAGGTATTCCGCCTAAATAGCATCTGGCATGTAGTAGGTACTTAATAAATACTTAATAAATGAATCTATCTACAATTCTTCTTACCATTGAAGGACCCTTCTTTTACAGATAGGTTCTTTTTTGTACATTCTGACACCAGTCGTTCCTATAATCATGTCTTTTTTTCTTCCTACTCTCCCCTTCCCCGTGTTTCTTCTTTGCACATGATCGAGAGGATTGGTTAGTGATCTGTGCCTTTTGTTTACTTGGTAGAATCCCACACTCAGACACATTTATTTCTTGCCCGGAACAATGGAATTTTTAAGCTGTTACATTTTTTTTTTTTAGTTATGATTTGTTCTTAAGCAATTAAATTGTGCAGTTATCTAGGCATTGGCTTATTCTGAATGTTAGGAAGTGATAGTAGAGAAAGCTTATGTTGGTGAGATCACTGAGAGATAAGACCATGAGCTGCTTCTTAATAAAATACTTATAGTTCCAAGTATCTGGCTTTTAGTATGGGTACTAGAAGGACCCCCATATATTCAGGCTTTTCTCCAAAATGATCTATCATAGTCTTATTAGTTTCATAATCTTCATACGCCATTTGTATAACATTGTTTATAAAATCATCATCCATCTTGTACCTGATTGACCTCTCTGTGTGCTTGCTTTTTCCATAAGATAGGTATCTTTTTCCATTTAACAGATGCATAAACAAACACCAAAAAGAACTAAGAACTTTTTATTATTCTCATTTCCTTACACATATCCTTACACTGTGCAGCTGCCAATACTAGGACATTAATTAAAATATAATTGCTTTATTTCTAAAATAATAAGCTTTCATCTAAAGCAGGCACTTTCCTGAGATTTAATAATGAATAGATTTTTTAAATACATTTTTATTTATTTCAGAGAGGAAGGGGGAGAGAAAGAAAGAGAGAAGCATCAATGATGAGAGAGAATCACTGATGAGCTGCCTCCTGCATGCCCCATGCTGGGGATCCAGCCTGCAACCTGGGCATGTGCCCAGACCAGGAACCATGACCCATGGTTCACAGGTGGATATCACCCTCTGAGCCTCGCAGGCTGGGCTAGATTTTTGTTTAATGAGTGTTTTTATTTGTTTTCTGTCCCTTTTGGTTACACAGGTTATATTATTTAACAAAAAGCAACAAAGCACTAAAGGTTTTTTTTTTTTTAATCAGGAATTTGGAGAGAGAATCTAGAATTAATCACATTTAATCAGTTATCACTCCTTTAAAGCTAAACTAATATCACTTTCTTGAAGTTAATTAACTGTACTTATGTGATTTGTTCTTAAGCAATTAAATTGTGCAATTATCTAGGCATTTTCCTTTCGCTGAATTTTTTTTTTTTTAATTCTCACCAGAGATATTTTTCCATTAATGTTTAGAAAGTAGAAGAGAGAGAAAGAGAGAGAAATATCGATGTGAGAGAAACACATTAATTTTTCCTCCTGCACCCCCCCCACCAGAGCCCAGGACAGAGAGGAGCCTGCAACCAAGGTACATACCCTTTACCAGAATTGAACCCAGACCCTTCGGTCTATAGTCTGACGTTCTATCCACTGAGCCAGACCTGCTAGGGCCCTTTCTTTGAACTTCGATATCACATTGCTTTTACCACCAGTGGCATTTATAGTTTTATCTTTTGATATATATATACCTATAAATAGCACTTACCATCTTTCTACTGTGTATAGAAAAATTTGTAAAGTATCTTTAGGGCTTGAAGTATTATCATCTTTTTGTTCCCTAAAATCTCTTAATAATGCCTTATATTATCCAAAGTAAGTACATTTTGTAACATTTATTGAATTGAAAATATTTATTACACATTAGGCCTAAAGGCATCTTTACTTGTGAAGTAAGGTATCAACATTTTCAATTAATGGGAACTAACTCAGTAACACCAGATTGAAATGACCCAGGTCTGGTACAGATCCTCACTGATCTGTTGATGCCTTTGTTTGTACCCTGATCCTGAACAGCCAAGCTCCTTCAGGATCTGAGAATGGAACTTGCATGATAAAAAGTTTCCATGAAGGATGGACAGTCTTTTCAAGAAGCTGTGGATTAGATTTAGCTTTCATTTCAGTGGTGGGACCATGTGGGAACCCATGACTTCAGTTGTATACAGCATTCTAAGATACATAAAACATGTGGAATGTCTCCCCAGCCTTCGGTTTCATGACTCATATTTTTCCCTCAGACATGGTCACGTATCCTAATAAGACTAGAACTGTGTTTAGGAAAAACATCTTTAAAATACAAAGTAGGTCGAAAATGGTATTTTTTATAAAGAATTTTAAAAATTGCATCTAGAAGCAGCGCCTCACCTTTTTTAGACTGTTCATCAAAATTGTGAGTTTATATTGGTGTTTTTTTATAAGAGAAATATTTAATATTTTATTAATACTAAATAACTATTTTAACATTAAAATTGGTGTTTTCTTTACAGAAAATCTTTGTTATAATAACGTTCAGCAAGCACATAGTGGAACAGATGGTGGCTTTCATTGGGTGAGTAATTCTTTAAGGACTAATATTAGTATCTCTGTTGGAATTAGAGGAAATGTATAAGAGCCTTTATTGGGGTAGAATTTTTGTTGATAGCTCTTCACTTTTTGAGGAAATACCTTTTTCCCTATTACTAGTTAAATTGGAGAAGACTTTCTTGAACTGCAGCAGGGAAGGACGAGGCTCAGATTAAACCAAACATGTAGTAAGTCATGCACTTGATTTAAAAGAAGTTTTGGAGATTGAGACTGTAGCCCCTCTAAAGAAATAAGAAATTCTCTTTACGTAAAGACATATGTTTCATTACAGTTGAATAATGCTTTAATTCAATGCCATGTCTTTTAGCCAGATACACAGGTGCATTTAATTTAAATACAAACCTATAAAATATTAATATTTTGTAGTGTAAGACATGATACGATGGCATAATATTACCAAAACATTTCAGTTCTGAACCTGTTGCTTCACTAGAGAAAAATTGGGCCATTTTTAAAGGCTTCTATCCAAAGCTTTTTATTTTCCTGTGTATAGAAATAAGACTAGTTTTAACATATGCTTTAAATGATAATGTTACAAATTTGGGTAGTTCACGTCATTGCTAAAACAGTAAAGAAAAACTCATTTTGTTTGGTTAACCAAATTAGCTGTCAACTGGAATGTGAGTACCGTCGGATAGTAAATGAAACTTTTTACATTTGTGAATTTTTATTCAGTGTTTATGGGAGAGAGGTTTTCTTTCACTTAATAGCATTACTGACCCATGGTGGGAAAGTGTTACCGTGAAGTGTCCTTTATGTAGTTTTAGCATAAAGTTCTATCTTAAAAGCCATTTATGAAACAAAACATTTAGGAAATTTTTTTCTGTTTAAAAAAATGGCCACTTTGAGGTGAGTTCATGAGTGTTAAGTTTTATTATTCTTTAAACCATACATGATATATTATATTTTCTCTTTTCTGTATGTGGTATGTTTTATCAAAAATTTTTTAATATTTTCTATTTAGTCTTTAATATAAAATTGAGGAAAAACATATTCTTGAGAATATACTCAGTGGAGCCAGTCATTGGTTCTGATTATAAATGTGAATTGTAGCTTGTACATTAAAATTTAATTACTCCAGTTTTTGTTGCTTGAATCCCTAAAAATAAAGTGGTTTAAGAGTATGTCGCATTCAAAAAGAAAGAAGGAGCCGAAACCGGTTTGGCTCAGTGGATAGAGCGGACTGAAAGGTCCCGGGTTCGATTCCGGTCAAGGGCATGTACATGGGTTGTGGGCACATTCCCAGTAGGAGGTGCAAGAGGCAGCTGATTGATGTTTCTCTCTCATCAATGTTTCTAACTCTCTATCCCTCTGCCTGTGCAAGAGGCAGCTGATTGATGTTTCTCTCTCATCAATGTTTCTAACTCTCTATCCCTCTCTCTTCTTCTCTGTAAAAAAAATCAATAAAATATATTTTTTTAAAAGAAAAGAAAGAAGAAATACCCTTGATCCTTAGTTTTAAATACTATGAAGGCATTTCCTCTGTTCATAGGGAGTAGAGTTCTACCTTGAGAAAATTCTGAAGGACACATACCTAGCTAACTACAACATAAACCCACATTGTAGGAGTGTCAGTGCTCACAGCACCCTTCCTTCTTCCTTTCTCCTTTTCCCATACTGAACATGCATAGAAGGAAGTTTCTTGGCTACTTTTACATCCTCACCACTACCACCTTTTGTTCCCCCAGCCTTTGGCGTTTCTAAAGAATTAGATTAGTTAGCTCCCTATCTCATCTACTCACATCCAATTTCATTCCCTTCTAATTTGGTCATCATATTGCAGTTAGTAACTTTAAAAAAAATCTTGCCTGGCCATTCGTGACTCAGTGATTGAGCATCAACCTATGAACCAAGGAGGTCATGGTTCAATTCCCGAGCAGGGCACATGCCTGGGTTGTGGGCTCAGTCCCCATTGGAAAAGTATCCTCCAGTGAGGATTAACAGAAAAAAATAAAATTAAAAATCAAGGAAAACACATATCCTTGGGTGAGGTTAAAAAATAATAAGTAGCTTAGTTGTATATTTCAGAAAAGGGAAGGAAGACAAGTCAAAGTGATTCCCTAGACCCATTGTTGAACTCAAAATACCGCCCATAGCTTGCGGTAGGACCATTCTCCTTTGATTATCCGTCTTCACACTGTTAAAACTAATGGTATAACAAATCATCAAACTATACTAGGAAAGTTTGGGATATAGCCTTTTTAAGGATATTTTAAAACTGTGTACCCATAATTAAGAAAGTGATGAATTGCCGTGGTAGAGAAAAAATCAAAAGACAAAAAGTCAGCAACAGTTCAAATTTACAATAAAATTATGAGATACTAAGGCAAGCAAGAATGAAAAATGAATCTCAAGAGTAAGGATAGCTGTGGAGTAGAAGATAAAAAGAACACACAGGCTTTGGACAAAACCAATCCAGATTTGAATGTGAACTCTTCCAGTTATTTAATTCCGTGTCCACTGTTCTTTCAAGCAACATGAGTTGAGCAGCATTTTTTTTTAGTAGAATTTCTTTTTCCACTTTAGGAGGCTATTGATACCCTTTCCAACTTCCAGTCAAAATGGTGAAATGTCCTATATCAAAATATTATATAGTTTAGTTGAAATAAACTCATGTCAGTGATTTGACATTTCAAGGCAGGTTTTTTATTTTTTTAATTTATCTTTATTGTTGAAAGCATTACAGATGCCCCCCTTTTTTTCTCCATTGACCCCCTCCATCCTGTACTTGCCTCCCCTTAGGCCTTCACCACACTATTGTCTATTGTCTGTGTCCATGGGTTATGCATATAAGTTATTTGGTTGGGCATGTGGATTTTTTTTTCTCTATTGATTAAGGTATTACATATGTGTCCTTGTCCCCCACCTCCTCCCACTCATGCCCTCACCCCTCTGGTGTCTGTGCCCATTGGTTAGGCTTATATGCATGCATTGCATACAAGTCCTTTGATTGATCTCTTCCCCTTACCCCCACCCTCCCCAACCTTCCCTCTGAGATTTGATGGTCTGATCAATGCTTCTCTGTCTCTGGATTTTGTTCTTCAGTTTATTTTGTTCATTATATTCCATAAAGAGTGAGATCATGTGGTATTTATCTTTCTCTGACTGGCTTATTTCACTTAACATAATGCTCACCAGTTCCATCCATGCTGTTGCAAATGGTAACGATTCCTTCTTTTTTACCGCAGGGTAGTAGATATTATATTTCATTGTGTAGATGTACTATAGTTTTTTAATCCACTTATCTGCTGATGGGCACTTAGGCTGTTTCCAAATCTTAGTTATGGTAAATTGTACTGCTATGAACATAGAGGTGCATATATCCTTTTTGATTGGTGTTTCTAGTTTCTTAGGATATATTCCTAGAAACGGGATCACTAGGTCAAATGGGAGTTCCATTTTTAGTTTTTAGAGGAAACTCCATATTGTTCTCCACAGTGGCTGCACCAGTCTGCATTCCCACCAGCAGTGCATGAGGATTCCTTTTTCTCTCCATTCTTGCCAGCATTTGTCGTTTTGTTGACTTGTTGATGATAGCTATTCTGACAAGTGTGAGATGGTACAGCATTTTCATTTTGATTTGCATCTCTCGGATGATTAGTGATTTTGAGTATGTTTTCATGTCTCTTGAGCTTCCTTATGTCTTTTTTTCGAAAAGTATCTATTTAGGTCCGTTGCCCATTTTTTTAATTGGGTTGTTTATCTTCCTTTTATTAACTTATATGAGTTCCCTGTAGATGTTGGGACATGTGGATTTTTAAAATGCTTTTCCTCTTGCCCCAGCCGATTTGGCTCAGTGGATAGAGCGTCAGCCTGCGGATTAAAGGGTCCTGTGTTGGGTTCGATTCTGGCCAAGGGCACATGTCTGGGTTGCGGGCTCAGTCCCCAGTGTGGGGTGTTCAGGAGGTAGCCAATCAATGATTCTCTCTCATCATTGATGTTTCTATCTCTCTCTCCCTCTCCCTTCCTCTCTGAAATCAGTATGTATAATAAAAAATATATATAATAAAAATTAAAATAAACTCTCTTTCCTCAAGTTTTATGTTACCTGTGTTCTCAAAGTCTCATTTTCAAACATTTCTACTGACTGTGATTGGAAAGATACACTACTAAGTGACTATTTTGTGTGCACTGAGGAAAGATTGGGGGAAGGCCTATTTCTCCTTAAAGAAAGTACCCATTTCTTTTCTTGCTTCTCTGATTTATAAAGTGCCTTTAACCAGGACAAAGTTTTTATCAAAGATTACATAAATAATTCTTTTTTTTTTACATTTTTTAATTAAATTATTATACATAAATAATTCTTGAAGGTACTATTTTTTTTAACATACTCTGAGCATTCTACATACAATTATTATTATTATTGTTCTAATTGCAGCCATGTATGATGCGTATCTATCTCCCATTTGTTAAGGAAATGATCTGCGAGTGGTTAAAAATAATTCACTTATATAATTGTTTATTTTAGTGGTTTTTTAATTCATAAAAAGAGGTTCATACCATATATAATCTTTTGGAACTTTTCACTTATTATATTGCTAATATCATTGTGTGTTGCTGAAAATTATTTATTTTGATTATTACGCTTAATGTTATTTTCTTATTGTTATATGTTCCATTGGGTAATTATTCATCCACTCTCCCTTGATAGATACTTCAAATGGTTTCATGTTTTTTTCTGTTTTAAACAAATATGAGCACTTCTTAGCATAAGATAGGTGAGCACATTAGTAAGGAGCCTAAGGGTCTGATGAAAACACAGAAGGATAAGGAAACTCAAAGAAAGATTGGACATAAAAGCAAGGTAACCTTTAGTTTCGATAAGTTAAAATAACTTAGTTTTGTCTGGGACCAAATTTGGGCAAAACCTCACTACTGGTGTGCCTGTGGCCTGCCAGGCCAAAGCTACTCACCTCCCCCTAGGTGGCAGGGAAAGAGTTAGTGTTGACTAATTACATGTGTAGC